TCAAGGTTTGGCCTCTGGGTTGCTCTATCTACACCAAGAATGGGAACAATGTGTGCTGCACAGGGATATCAAATCCAGCAATGTTATGTTGGATTCAAATTTCAACGCAAAACTTGGGGATTTCGGGTTAGCAAGGCTTGTGGATCACGGAAAACAGTCGCAGACCACAATCTTGGCTGGAACCATGGGCTACATGGCTCCTGAATATGTTAATACAGGAAAGGCTAGCAGGCAGTCAGATGTCTATAGTTTTGGAATTGTTGCTTTGGAGATTTCGTGCGGGAGAAAACCCATCGATCCAAAGTTTGGAAGCTCTAAAGTCAATATGGTGGAGTGGGTTTGGGAGCTTTACGGAGAAGATAGTCATTGAAGCAGCTGACCCAAAATTGTGTGGGGATTTTGATGAGAAACAAATGGAGTGCTTGATGATTGTTGGGTTGTGGTGTGCTCATCCTGACTACAATATGAGGCCTTCAATACAACAAGCAATTCAAGTGCTTAACTTCGAGGTTCCGTTGCCGAATCTCCCATCAAAGATGCCGGTGGCCACTTATTTCGCTCCTCCGAAATCGCACTCAATGCTGTCTAGAGATACTAGTGGTTCTCTAGGAGGCCAAATTGAGTTTTCATCAGGCTATGGTTACAACACTAATTCCTCACAGTTCAGCGCATCTTCTTCTACCACAAATTCTCAGCCAAAAATTTCACTTGGGTAAGAAATAAGTCTAACTCAATAATTATGATAACCTGGATCCTAAACATTTGGAATTTTTTTTAATTTCAATGTTCTATGTGGTAATTGCCTGAATGGATATTCTTTGACCAGATCATGATGTGTTGTGAGGAAAGACATTTAGATAAAAAAAAAATGAAGGGATGACAAGGATGAAGATGGCGCCTTGCTCTTTCTCTGTGGTTCACCAATTAAGAACAAGTCTTACAGATCCCTGTTTCACCGAAAGATTTCCTCTTCATGATTTATGACATTGTGATTAAGATACTTTGTTAAAGTTGTAAGTGCTGTTGGATTTGTCTGCCATGTTTTGTTTTTAAGAGTAATCAAAGTTGTAATATGTTTGGTTTGGAAAGTGCAAAAATTGATTGTATAATTGGGTAATTTTCACTTTACCTCACACCGTACCCTCACCATACCTTCTCGTCGCCGCCCATCACCTCCTCTTTCTCTCTCTCTCCCTCTGTCTCTCTTCCCTATGTCAATAAAGACAGATTCATAGCCGCCGTCAAGTCCCACCTCAGAAGCTCCCTCCTTCTCTCCCACCCCAGATCCATAGCCGCCATAGCCCGAGGCCTCAAGCACTGGCACAACACCACCGACCTCAACCTCGACCGCCACATCATCGTCGTCCCCAACCCCGTCACGACCGCATCGCATTTTAACCACCAGACAGCGGGTATGGTTTGTGGGTTCTGCTAATTGGGTTTGTGGATATGGTTTGTGTTAGCTTGATTTTTGTAGTGGAGTTTGCATTGAGGATCTTGTTGGTTTAGCCACACTCCCCATAATCTCCTAGGGTGATGAAATTCAGGGCGGAAGATTGAAGGTTACTGGACTCTCGCACTAGCTCTAAGAAATTGAAATTGAAGGTTAGAGCATCTGACAGGGATGAGGGAGAAAGGAGAAGTTGGGGTGTGGGTGTTGGTAGGGCGGTAGGGCTTTAGGCTGGGTCGGGTTGGGGTGGTTGTACGGTAAGGTGGGAGGGGAGGAGGTCGTACAGGGAAAGATTTTTTAAAAAAAGATTTAGGGAAATAGCGGTATATGCCACCCATTTTATAATCTTAACTAAAATTACCACCCCTTCCCAATTTTTTTTTACAACTACCACATATAAATATATAATTATTGTCCACTTATGGTACCCATATCAATTTTTCAGAAATTGGCTTCTCTCTCTACTCTATCTCTTCGGCCCGTCTCTCTCCCTCGTGTACCTCTCTCTCTCCGACGCAATTGTCTTTCTCCCTCAGCAGTGGCTGTTCATCCTCTCCACCGTTGACATCCATGAGGTACTCTTCATATACCTTTTCTTTGAAATTTGGTTTATGGTGTACGGATTTGTAAGAAATTGGTTTAGGGTTTTAGTGTTTAGGGGTTACTCAGAAATTGGGTTTGGGTTTATGGGTTTCTATGAACTGGGTAATAACTGACACCCACTCTCACTCGCTCGCAGGCACTGTTCACAGAAATCAAACTCTTTATTTTGTCACAGAACGTTTGGGCTTCGTTCAGCTTTGTCTGGGTAAGTCCCAACTATCTATATTGTTTGATGAGATTTTAAGCTCTGGGCTCTGTGATTTCTACAAGAATTAATTCCACAATATTCTGATTTTACTTGTTCAAATCAAAGCAAAGGAAGGGACGTTGTTTATGGATGGGTAATTGTCAAAAACGACTTCTGGAATCTACATGCTTATAATCAAATTTTGCAGATTGTCAATGGTCCACAGTCCACATTTGAGACTGAGAATTTTATATGTTCTTGTTAGGCTGGTTTTGTTTTACCTCTTCAATCATTGTTAGCATATGGTTCTCTGGAAATTTTGAATAAATTGTTTAATCAGATGTCCAAACCGTTGGAATTAATATCTTACTGTCGTAATGCATTTCATTTTCAGGCAATATGCAAGGATAGCCGCATTGGTCCTGGAGCGGCAACTACTGAAATTGAGTTAGCTAAGAGAGTAAAGGAATTCTCTTTTACAGAAACATGGTAATGGCGTGAATTATTATTTTCTCAAGATGTTGTCCCTGAAACATAAAATAAAATATTGATGTCTAGACCAACTATTGGAACTTGATTTTGTAACCATTTTCCCAGTCATAGATTTCTGATTGGGCAGTAGTGCAATAACCTACTAAAGAAACAATGGTTTTGCAGATTGGATCAGTATGCTATAGCAAAATTTGCCGAAAGCTTTGAGATGGTGCCTAAAACGCTAGCTGAAAATGCTGGGCTTAATGCAATGGAGATCATATCTTCTCTATATGCTAAACATGCATCAGGAAATACCAAAGTGGGCCTCGACTTGGAGGAAGGCCGTTGCAAAGAAATGTCAACTCTTAATATTTGGGACCTCCACATAACTAAGTAAGCTGCTCTTTGTCTTGTAACAGTTCATGCTTTTATGTGAA